TGAGAGATTTTAAATATCTCAAACTCTTTTGCCCTTTGCCTCCCCCCAATGCCTCTCTAATCCCATCACCTCCCCCATGTCGGCCCAATGGAAGTCGGTCCAGGGTAAACCGAGATCGAGCGGCCTGGGTGCTGGATTTTGATCAGCAGTCCCGCACCTCTCCTTCCTTTCTGGTTGCCACTCAATGGGGAAATTCTTCCCTTCCTATTTTATCTGTTAGCTATTATATTTGTGTTGTTTTGTTTACTAGAGTTAGTTTTGACTGTGTTATACTTTCAAATTTCCTGTTTGAAGAGTTTTCCTGGTTCTAGGGCTGTATCCGATGAGGTAGCAATGCTCCGACTGTATCCCCCTCCAAGGTGCTGTTGTGTCCTTCCTTATTACCATCCCTACTCCTTCCCCCTCAAGCAGCCGGCGGCCTACCCATTCTCCATCCCCACACCCAGCCACCCTTCCCCCATGGCTTACTCTTGTTGTCCAACTCCCCAGACGTCACCCCAGCCCTGTCACTACAGTCCAACATTGTTGTCCCCCTCCTCAGCCTCCATCCCAACCCCGATCACCTCTATTGTGCAGCGAAACCTGCTGCCCAGACCTCCATCATTGTTGGCCCTACAGTTTTGCACTTTCCCCTTGCTGCCACCAGCACTCCTTTGCTGCCACCTCCCCTGCCAACCATCCCGATCCACCTAGCCGATCTCCACCGCCCTTGAAAAACACTTTAGAGGTGTTTGCTTGTGTTGTTATTTTCTGTTGTATTGTAACCCTCTCTCTACATAAATAGAAATTTGTTTTGCGTTCTCCATTGAATTTCCTACTAGTTTTGGTATCACGGCCTCAAAGTTCTTAAAACATCAAACACAAGGGATGAAATAGACAAAGTGAGTACTTAAAATGTATCCTAACAAACAAACAAAAAAATAAATACATTTAATTTGCATCCTATAATGCAAATGCTAAAATTGAAAAGGAGCATTTACATGCATACCTCCCAATTCATATATACATATCTAATTGCTTTTTACATTTAAACCACCCAAAATCTTTCATATCACATAAAAATTATTGTCATTTTAACTTTTAAAAAGTGAAATACATATTGTCCTGCAAACGTAAGTTGAAATTTATATAAAAATTGAAGTTTAGGTGTCAGGCATGTAAATTCATAGTATTTGCGTGGTATGTGTATCAATCTTCCAATTTAAAACGCATTGTATTCTTATACATTCTATTTCTGAATTACATGCATTTTAAAAACATACTATCAAACAACCCCTTGATGAGCTATATGCTGATTTCGTCGACAAAGTAGGCTTAAAACCAAGTTTGAAATATTTCTCAGCTTCCATTTCATTCCAATATTTTCAAGTTGTGCATTTTTTTTTTTTTTTAAATTTTAGCACAGCTACTGAAATTATTTATTTTATATATCTAATGATTTAAATATTTGTTTAAAACATTGTTTAACCTTATAGATGTTCAGAACCGTCTTTTGAATGTTGATGAGAGCATCTACATCCCTATTGCCAGAGCAGAATTGATCGTCATGAACTCAATTTTCAATGTATGATTACCCTCATTACCTTTTTTTTTTAATCATGCAAATGCAGTTTGTATTAATATTGTTTATTGGAAGATTTACGTAGATAGCACTCAATTCCTATGTATTTGCACCTTGCCTATACATTTCACTTTTTAAAAGTTAAAATGGTTGTTTTTTTTTACGTGATATGAAAGATTTGGGTGGCATACATGTAAAGAAAAAAACAAAGTTTAGGTGTTAGATATGTAAATACATATGAATTGGATGGTATGTACGTAAATGCCCCTTGTTTAAATATGCAAATACAACAGCATGCACCATTTTGACTTTTAATTATGCAAATACAGTTTGCATTATTACAATTTATTGGAAGATTTACATACATACACTCAGTTCTCATGTATTTACATACCTAACAACTAAACTTCAAATTTTACATAGACACCACCATATTTATGCATGAACACCTAAACATTCATTTTTACATGCATACCGCTCAAATCTTTAAATACATAAAATATATAAATACATAAGAATTGTGTGGTATGCATGTAAATTTTCCTTCTTTTTTTGTCATTTCAAAGTAAATCCTACTGTATAAATTCTATCATGATCAAATTTTAGTTATGATAGAACCGAATTTATTTTTCTATGACTTATTTAAATGTTCATTTAAGCCCCCATTAAATTAGAAATTATATTTTTTTCCCTTCCATTTTGCAGTTTATACTGCCATACCTTTTGGGTTGGCATGCCTTTGCAGATAACATTAAAGCAGAGGATTCTATAAGATCTAACTTCACAAGCACAAGATCTGGGCCTGAATTGGAGTGGGGAAGGTGAACTATTTACCTGCAGTTCTTTCTCTAAGGGGAAGCAGGTCCTGCTGCTGTTCTTCATGCAAAAAAATTCTGCTACAAATGATTTTGCATTGGAAAGCTTTTCAAATTTTGGTTCTATGTAATTTGATTAATCGGCACATGTTTTTAATTATGTTTTATAAACTTTATTTATCAGTTCTTTTAAGCAATTTTCATTTTGCTCTGGCATTAACTTATTTAAAGTATTGAAATCAAATTTTGATGAGTTGTAGGGGTGTTTGCTAACGCGCCTATCAATAGGATTTATTTAATTGAGTTGATATGAATGAGATTTGGGTGGGAATGCACCTATTTATGAGATGAATATTACAGTCTTGATGTGTTCGGATTTCATGTATAATATTATCATAAACGAAATTTGGATGCACTCAAACTCCAAGTGTTAATTTTTTGCTATTTAGGAGAGATAATTGACTCATCAAGGCAATAGATGAAGATAAATTATTATACGTGATGACAACGATCTGGATGATCTGTTGTGTGATCAACGACGGCGGTCACAGACATATGTTGATCGGTGGTCACTGACATATGACATATGATTAGCTGCACGTAATAATTTTTCAATAGGTAAATCCATGGACACTCTAAAAGCTATGCCCACCTATTTATAACAGATGTTGTGCATTTAAGACTTGGATCAAAATATAATATACTCTATAGCATTCATAAACAAAATTCATTGAATTAAAAGGTCACAGGAAGAACAATACATCCAATATTTTATTTTCACATCAAGAACAATACCTCACAAATTTTTTTCTCTCTCTCCCTAGCTCCCTCTCTTTTATTTTCTTCTTTTTCTTTGTCCAGGGCTTTGTCAAAACCGCATGAGCTCTATAAGGATATAAATGTAAAGCTGGTAAGAATGTTTAGGAATGTAAAAGCACCACAATGATACATATAAAAAAGTACGAAACAAAACCAAAGCATGCAAATTTAAAGCGAGAAAAAACATACTAGTATGTTACTCTCAGACTACAGACAGTTGCATTATTTCACATGCTATAAAAATATGAAAGATTTACATACACACCACTTAATTCTTATATATTTACATATGTAATGCCTTCACTTCAATCTTTATATACATGTCACCTTATCTGACCTATGCCTCAAATGATGCACTTAACTTTTTAACTCATAAAAGTGGTATTTTTAATGTAATATGAATGATTTTGGTGGTATAAACGTAGAGCTTAGGTATTAGATGTGTAAATACATTGGAATTGGGTGGTATGCATGTAAATGCTTCCAAAACATATATACCACTATATCCCTGTGTATTTATAAATCTAAAACATAAACGTCAATTTTCACATATAAGCCACCAGGCCTATGCCAGAAAAGATGTATTTCACCATTTTAAAGTCAAAACAGTACTTTTTTATGTCGGAATAAATGTAAAAAACAAATTTTAGGTTCTAGACATGTAAATACATTTGAATTGGGTGGTATGTATGCAAATGCTTCCTAAAAATATATAGTACAATGACATTAACTCAATAACAAATCTATGTGCTAAGAGTCGCATACATGCTAAATAGTTCAATGTCATTAGCATGAACATAGAAATCCATGACAGCAACATAAATGAAACTTACTTAAAAAATCTTCAGTTTTTTTCTCTAACATCTGATACTCCATTATTTCTCTGAAACTACATCATCTTCCATCATCTCCTGAAAGCTGAAGAAAACAGGAGAAGCTCCCAAACTGATCATACAACTAAAAAACACTGATCAAAATTGTTTCCTCTTGTTCCTAAAAATCTTATCTCTCTTAGCATAAACATACAATAATCCAAACAAAAACACTCCAACAACAGAGGCGGAAGCCCATGGTAATGGCGGGTCTTCGAAACAAACCAACGAAGCCTCAAGCTGCCGAGTCGCCTCATAAATCAAAGTATGAAGAGTGAAAAGATCATGATCCGAAGACCTCCAGAAATACAAAGCCTTCTCATAATCAAGTTGAGACATTGCAGAAACAACCTTGTCCAGCTTATATTTGAGTAAATTCCATCTCTGCACAAATTGCACATACCTATTATCCTTAAGAACCTTCCTGTCACCTCCATGAGCTTCCAAAGACTCCAATAAATCAATGGCGCTGGTGATAGTATAATTCAGACTAACAAGAAGAACATTTCTTCTAGCTGCATCTTTTTGAACAAAAGACAGGGAAGAAAGCTCTGAGAAAGGCCCAAATGGAGTCTGCCCAACACTCCATGTGTAGTCTACAAGAGTGTTATTGTGCTCTGGACTCCATGAAAGGTGAGTTGGAGCCACCCCCCACATACTCTGAAGAACAGAACCAATAATCGGACGATTCAAACTCCGAGTATGAGTGATTACATGCCTTCCATTGCAACTATAATCGCTCACAGTCTGTGAGCTCTTAGTCCTCACAGCGATCACCATATCCTTGAAGGCGACAGCTTGGTGAAAACGATCGAGTAAGATGAGCTTGTCATGATCCAAATCGAAGATGTATACAGGAAGGATATTCCCATATTCTTCATCAGAAATACCTGCTTCTCTATGAATCTCATCCGCTGAATCTGATAGGAGGCTGTGTAGATGCTTGGAGTCCAAATACTCACTGACGATCAAAGTATAGTTCTCAAAAAGGAATCTTGATGTGTAAGAGTTCATGGATTTGGCGATGGCAAATGAGCATATTTTGCATTCTGAATACTTCACAGAGTATGAGCTCATCGTCAAAAGTTGGTTTTTGAACGATAAATCACTCTCCCTGAGTGTTTTCTCAATGAAAGTAAAGTCGAGGCCATTTGGATCGCCATTATCAGAACCTTGGATATGAATTAACTGGATAATCAACTTGTTCTCCAGAAAAACAGGAATTCTTAAAGAGGGAACCAGAAGGGACTGATAGGCACCGAGAACCAGAGAGGCGAGATCTGCGAGCAGGGCTTTTTCGGATCTAGGGTTCTTATGAAGAGAAGCGAGGGGATGAAACTCACCTCTGGGGAGCAATCCTTCACCGGAAAGTGCGGGGCCGTAATCCACCGGCCCGGCGGCTAGGTCAATCCAGAGGTATCGTTCCTGCCCGGTCCAGATCGTTCCCAAACACTTGGAGAACGCAGGGGAAGAATCCATGGCGTCGTAGGAGTACGCGTACCGCCTTGACTGCTGGTCCATATACAGCAAATAGATGTAGATTCCTGGGGCGGAGTTAGATTCCTCCTTTTGGAAATCACGGCGGATTATGGTGTCGACGACGGAGTGAGGAATTGGGAACAGAGCGCCGCGGTGGAGCGGCGCCGGAGAGGATTCGACATGGGAGCGAATGGCTTCGGAGATGTCGGATTCGAGGGAGGCGAGAGAGGGATCGAGATTGAGCGAGTGGGAAACAGCAAGGTGGTGAGGGTTTGCACCGACGACCTGGAATCGAGACGAGGAGAGCGCGGCCGTGACGAAGGAGTGGAGGATGGATGGAGCGGCGGAAGAGAATCGCCCGACGAGCTTGACGCGCACTGGGACGGAGATTTGGAAAGAGAGAAGGTGGGAGATTAGGAATTTTGGTTTGGAAATGGAGATGAGAGAGAGGGATTTCTTGAGGGAGGAGGTGAGGAGAGGAAATGAATCGTTACTGGCGAGAGGGTCTCGTAGGAGCTGATCGGAGAGGAAGGCGTCAAGGCCGAGGGTTTGAGCAGAGGATAGAAGTGGGATCGAGGGGAATGTTAGGGCACAGAAGATGAGAAAGAGAGAGAGTGAACAAGGTAGGCGTTTTCTCATGGTCGTGGGTTGTCAGAATGATGAGATGGTTAGGGTTAGGGTTTGCGAATTGCGAGTGGATGCGGAAGGATGGAGGGCGATGAAGCGATCGGTGTTAGGGTTTTTTTTCGGTGAGTACCCGTGGCTTCACAGTAGAAGAACAAAAGAAGAAATATTACATCAGTAAATAACGTGCGTACCCAATTAAAACACGTCACGAAATCTCGCGTGACAGAGCAAAAAAAACGGCGCAGCAATGCTGAGAATATTCTCTTCTGTGTTACTCATGTGTTATTGCGCGTTATTCATGTGTTATTGCGTGTTATTCATGTGTTATTGATCTGTTATTGTGTTATTATAACACCAAGAATATTTTCAGGATACAATAACACATGAATAACACACAATAACACTTGAATAACACGGGAAATATTCCCGACAGAGAAAAAAACGGCGCAGTAACACGGGGGAATATTCTCTCCCGTGTTATTCTTGTGTTATTGTGTGTTATTCATGTGTTATTGTATCCTGCGATCGGTGTTAGGGTTTTTTTTCGGTGAGTAGCCGTGGCTTCACAGTAGAAGAACAGAAGTAAGAAATTTTGGAAGGGGGACTAAACATGTGCGTAGTACTGATATAATATTTTTTCAACAGAAGTAAGAAATTTTGGAAGGGGGACTAAACAGACATATCACACAACTTTATATATTTAACTAACACCTAAACATCATATTTACGTTCATACGGCTAAAAAATAACATTTTTTTAATCTTAAAATGCATATTCTTATGCACAAAAATATATGATTGTAAATTTTGTATCGTGAGCATCAGTATGTGTATAGGTTGGTAGTCACTTATAGTTATGCACGTACACGCGATTTTATGAAATTTTGTAGCCACTTGAGACTTTTTAGTGTAGTCATATTTTTTGTCTTCTACTTAAAATTGTTTAATGTATACGTGTTGAATCTAAATTTATCTGGTGAATCATATTTAAGGAATAGAAGGTGTGACTGAGTAAGAGGACAAATAAGAGAGAGAGAGATAGAGAGAAATTTTTATTAATGAGTTTAATTATTATAAGCTTTTCATTAGAAAAAGAACGAGGCATTAATATACATACCGCCATATTATTATTTATTTATATACATAAGACTTAAATTTGGACATTATGAAAACTAAAAAGACACCTAAAATAGACATTTAAATTTTTCACTGCCACCCAATTTTTTCATCAACTTATCACCAATTTGACATTTAAATAGTGACATATATCTGTCTATGTATTGGGAATGTCACATTTTAGAGTGTGTTTTGGGCAGCTTATATGTTTCAGAATAAACAACTTATCCTGAAACGCGGCATGCGGGTCGATCACGGGGTTCGACCTGCGGCTTGCGTTTAGTATAAAAATGAAACAACGTTTTTAGATAAAAGGGCAAAATGCGCAATCCAAACGGTACCGCGACATTTTTAAAAATGCCCCGCACTTATAAGCTGTCCCAAACGGGCCCCTTAATAGCTAAAGAGATAAATACATCAGACTTAAGAGGCATTTATGTAAATTAAGAAAAAAAAAGGATAAAAAAAAACATTCTAACCCCTAGCCTCCCTACCAAAACGGAAAATTCATCTCCTCCCGAAGTGGATAGAATTTAGTAAATTCTATAAATCCAAATTTAGCAAATTATGAGGTGGTTAAATTTTGAAAATTATTTGGTTTGTTGGCAAATAAACTCTAAGAAATAGTTATAGTTTTAAAAGAATTTTTTGAAATTTATTAAATATTAAAAAAATTATTGAATAAAAAATAGAAATAAGCATCAAAATGTCAAAATATATGAAAAAAATGCATTTTTTATTAATAATAAATTATATAAATTAGTAATATTTTTTAAAAGCAAGTGCTTATCAATCAATAATTTAATATAAGTAATTATTAATTATATAAAATAACATTATTTAGAATTTTATTAAATAGATTAAAAATTTTAAAATATTTTTATTTATTAATTAACTATTAAACAATTACACATAAATTTATAGATTTGTTATCATTTAAATTTATTTATTAATTATTAATCAATTAAAATAATAAAATAAGTTAAGAAAAAAAATTAAAACCACAAATCACTCGCCGAAACCCTCGCTCATGTCGCCCCTACCTCCCGGTTTTGTCCTAAAACCACGGGATCGCGGCTTACAGAGACCACCGAAGCTCGAATCTCTCTCATCCTTCCTCTCCGCTCTACCATAAACCTCTGAGGAAGGTAAGCCTGTTAGCGCCATTCTTCCTATCCGCTCGTCCCGGATTTACCCAATCCGGCGATTCACAGGATTTCCGGCGATTCACAGGATTTAGTAAATCCCGGATTCATCGCGAATCGGCACCATTTTACGCCGTTTGGCTGTATTTAGCTCAAATCCTGCTTAAAACCTGCTACCAAACAGCCCCATACTGAATCATAAAACCCTAATTTTCAGTCTCAGCACAGGACAAAGAATCTTCTCCCCCCTGCTCGTGTCAAAGCCTTACTTTTTTCCCATAGATCGAGGCCAATCAATCCAAGGGTTTATCTCCTCGCGTGGTTGTGACATTTTTTTTCCCTCCAGCAAGTGATTCATTGGCTCGGCTCAAGTTCGGTGAGGTCCCTGCGATGGTGATCCGCGACGAGAAAGGTGGTGAGTTGCATCCGCTCGATCTGTTTCTATCCATTGGATTGGATAAGCGGACGGCGGAGAACGCTCTTGTCAACCCCAAAGTCACTTCCAACCTCACCGCCGTCATCAAGGAGGTAACTTTATTTCTTTCGGTTGTTGCGCTAATCGGTCTGTGACAGTTGTAATCTGGATTATAATCTGTCAAGTGGTTAAAAACTCCATTTGTTGACATTAAGGGTCTGTTTGGCGCAGCTGTGGATTATTTATAATCTGCTGATAAGCAGATTATTCTGATAATCTGATAATCTGTAGATTATCAGAATAATCTGGCTTGCTGTTTGGGCCAACTTATTGAAGCTAACTTATTGGTTGTTAAATGACATTACTGCCCCTATGTAATAAAACTGTTTGGGGCAACTTAATTAGAATAACTTATTCGTAGAAAAGAAACATTAATTGCAGAAACATACGATAATGATAGACAAGTTCTAAAAGATAACATACAGTTCTCACATCTTAACGAGTACCAGTAGAACTAAAAAAAGTACAAAAACAAGTACAACAACAAGGAGAAATATTAAAATATTTAACTTCAGACTCTGGCTACATCGGTCTTCAACTGCACAGTCAGCCTGAGAAAACATCGGATTCACATGACTGCTGGCATAATTACTGGCGGTGTAATTTGTGGGACTATCAGCCCACCTGAAGAAACCACAGCGAGCTGAAACACCTCTGGCACAATCATAGAACTGCCTCCCAAAGCTATGCTCTGTCAGACCTTATTCCAAAAAAGAAAGAAAAATTACACATCAAAATAAATCTATAATGTACGAAGAAAAGAAAGACTTGCTGGATTAACTGCCATAGATAGCATCTGCTATAGACTCTCTCAGATCAGCCATCTCAGCCACACCCTACGTGTTATGAACTTCAAATTCATTAAAATCATGCTCATCCTCAGGAACTGAAGGCCCGATCATAATTTCTGATGGTTCTTCATAGACATTCAGCTCATCGTTATCAGCCATGCTGAAGTTCGTATTTGAACGTGAAGGATGTCGTCGGATGAAGTTATGAAGTGTCATTGTTGCCACCACAATATGCACCTGATTCTGAAATGAAACGACGGCATATCGCGTATGATGACCCATTTCTTCTTCCAAACCCCAAATGTTCTTTCAATTACCCCGCGTAAAGATGAGTGACGTTTATTAAACATTTCCTTTCTATCACGGATGGTGCCACTCGCTCTCGCAAAATCAGGAAGATGATATCTTGTGTCAGGATAAGGCTTCAGGTATCCCCTTTGCATAGGATACCCGGCATCAACCAAATAGTATTTTCCTAATAAGAAAAACACTGTTAAGTAAAAAGATTA